TTAAATGTTTATTAAAGTCATCTGACTGAATTTTACAATTAAAGGCAATGATACTTTAATACAAAAATTAGCAAGGTATAATCCAAATTCCAAGACATAGATTATAAAAACAGCCTTTTAAAAACTGTTTCAGTGAAGGGCCGCCCAAATAGCTCAGTGGATTAGGTGCAAGGGCCCAGGGTTCAATCCTTGGGCCTGCAGTGTAGGCTTGTCCCCAGGGCGTGCTGAGAATGAGACTCTGATTGAGACTGGGCGTGGTAGTGCACACGCCTGTAATCCCAGCTCTTGAGAGGCAAAATAGGCAGATCATTACAAGTCTGATCTGTGTAGTGAGACCCTGAACACCCTGTAGACCCTTCCCTAAAATACAAAAAAACAAAACTGTTTCACTGAACAGGGACTGAATACTAGCCTAAAACTGTTTAAGTGTAAGTATTCACAGGCCATCTAAAAATACACCAGTATCTCTACTTACATTATGCTAACGTTCACAAGAGGGGGGCATGGAAGTGCACGCCTGTAATCCCAGTGCTGCAAGTTCAAGACCAGCCTGGGATACAAACTGAGTTCAAGGTCAGCCTGAACTATCTTAAAAAAAGAGCAAAAAAAACCCCCAAAAGTCAAAAAAATTAGGGCATAAGTGTGAAATCAAATCTTAAATACAGTGACACTCTACAGAGGGAATTTTAACTCAAACTGCATACAAGACTAGAAAGGCAGCTGATGAACAAAGAGGTTGAGAAGGTTCCAGTGGGAGAGGACTGCATGCGGCGCGGCGCGGCGCGGCGGTGCAGTGGGTATGGTGGGAAGACCTGGGCGGACTTCAGGACCTTCTTCCTTTGCAGGGGAGACCAAACATTACTCTTCTTCTCACATCCATCCCTGCTGTTCTTCTTCAACATACTGTATCTTGACCTCCCCACAATACCGACAAGTAAGAATGTAAAGATATCAAATGACCCCTAACGACCACAAATTTGTGGTGTCTACTCTAAATCTTTTTTTTGTGTGTGTGTGTGTGTGGAAAAAGGGATTGAACTCAGGCCCTTGTGCTTGCCAGGGAAGCGCTTATTCCACTGAGCCATCTCCCCAGCCCCATGGTGTCTACTCTAAAGCAACACATGTATACCACACAACTTAGGGAACCAAGCATTACAAATCAAGTAACAAAGGACATGGGAACTGCTCACTGAATAGACAATGTATCCCTAACAAAGAACTGCTGCAGAATGACATCACCTTTTCAAATGTCCAGTGCTTTGAACCTCTGATTAGGCCGGCTATAATTTCTGCAACACATCGCTGGGTACTTTCGTGAGAATCTGCAACCAACCGTTCTAAATGGGGCTTCAGGAGTGGCAGAAAGGCATCATCGAAATTTCTAAACAATCCCTACAAAAGCAAAGACATCAATCCAGTATCATTCAGTTCAATTACAATACGCAACTACTATTCGCCATTACCATGCTCAACAATTCTAAGCAAGCCTCCCTTTAGTAGCAAGTACTTTAAGTACTTTAACAATGTAAGTTAAAATGGTAAAACTACTGCCATTTTATGTTATAATGTAACTAAGACTTTGTTTTGAACTTAAAAATGTTATGCTTTAAAAAAGCAGGGCTATCTCCCTGGTCCCTGCCTTTCTTTCACGACCTCTAGCTAAGAGCAATGAAAGGGTCATTTTCAATGAAAACAGATGGTGAAATTAAAACCTCGATCACATATTTAAAATAAACTTATGATTTACAAATAAAATAATAACTAAACTTTATAAAGAGTATATAAATAATATAGTTACCTTAAAGAGGCAAAAACGTCGGGGATTAAACTTATCTTTTCCTTTTCTGTCTTCTAAAGATAGAAAAGTAATTAACTGTTCAACAAATTTAGGATCAGAAAAATGATCAAATATAATCTGTTCTGCCTATAAAGTTAAAGAAAAAGAATATTCAGGGTTTAAAATCTTTTAAGAACATAACTCTAAAAGGTTAAAATACGATTTTGATTCAACAGAGCCTGTCACTTTCCTCTAATGAATGTTTAGTTCTCACAGAAACAAGGCTTTCTAGACCCCACACAACATACTCCCTAAAAACGTTTACGTACATAAAAATAGCCAAGTCCTTCACGTCCTTGAAGTCGTAAATTAAAACCAACAGCCAGCCTGCTTGGGAAGTGAAGGCTTGCTGCTCCTGCGCTCTTGCATAATCTGTGAAACTGCCCAACTGGAAGCCAAACGCCAACGAGGCATTTCCATATGTGTACATCTTAAGTTAAAAGGCAAACTGCTCAGAATCAGCTACACAACCTTTAATATCCACAGTAAAAGCCCTTATCTTTCCACCTGAGAAAGCAGGAAGCTCAGTGAAGACTGAGAGGTTTGGACTTGAAGCTATAAACACCCACTTACCAAGTGTTCTACCATCTGCACTTAACAAAAACCTAAAACTAACTCATCATTTCTCCTTCCATAAGCATAACTCAGAACTGACAGGGAACTGCTGACTGTATCCGCAGCAGCCACGGAGGGCGCGCAGAACCTGAGAGCAACCTCCCAGATGCTGCGGCTGGCACGGGCGGCCTAGGAGAGCAGCCAACACCCCCTGCACTTGTTCTGCACTACACTGAAACCGCACAGTGTGGAAAAAGATCTGCACTAAGACTGAAATAAATCAGGGGCCAAAAATAAAAGGCATCTGCAAGCACGGAGAGATGAGCGCTTACCTCTGTCATGTCCTCCCTGCTTCTGCCAAGCTGAGGCTGCTCTTCCACACCAGCATAAACCACCATATTCCTGCACAGTTAAGAATGCAGATTTGTAATATACGCAGAAAAAAATACCACAGCATCCCGGACAGAAAGCATTACAAGGTGTGCAATTAAGCCCTGCAGGCCATGTTCGGAGACTAGAGCACGCTCAGCCTTAACAATACAGTGGATCGCTGTGTCCTGGTGACATCACTGCAAACAAGAGAGGCGAGCACTCCTCGGGGCTGGCCCAGGGTCTGCGTTACTGACAGATGAAACACAACGCAAAGCGGCTATTAGCCTCCTCCTCAGTGCCCTACAGTGTGGGGGAGGCCAGGAGCCGCCCAGAGGTAGGAATGGAGCTCAGCACTGGCGGGCTCCTCTCAACTTCCCCAGAAAGCCAAGCGCGACAAAACCGCAGGGCCCACTTCATAGGTGCAGGAACTCGCACTCACTTTGGCCAAGCATAGTAGCCCCAGTGAGTTTTCTCAACAAAGCAACTTGTTTCCCATTCTTTTTTAGTTCTTGGTACAGTGCTGCTGTCATAATGCAACCAACGATTATCAGGCCTATCACCAGCAAGAACTTGGGCAGGTTTAGGACATCCACCTAAGGAAGGAGAGACAGCTAATTAAACACTCAGCCAATAATTAATCCTCCACTTTCAAACAAAGGAATTAGTGTTGACTCTGCTAGGGCCGGCTAAATAGCTCAGCAGATTAAGGGACCAGGATTCGATCCCCAGGCCTGCCGCGCCAGGCCCTGCCGCTGGTGTACTGAGATGGCCACTGAGACTGGCCACAGTGGCACATGCCTGTAATCCCAGCTCTTGGGAGGCTGCAAACTGTGTGATCACTACGACTCTGATCTAGTAGTGAGACCCTGAACATCCTGTAGACCCTTCCCTAAAAAATAAAAATAAAATAAAATAAAAAATTTTAAAAAAAGGAACTAGAGTAACTCTGCTTTTACGATAAGCAGCTACTAAATGCCCTCAAAGACGACCACATAAGGCTGGGGCGTAGCTCCCAGGTAGAGCCCTCGCCTGTCATGCACAGGTCCTGGGTTCAACTGCCTCAAGACTCATTATTTTCTTGTGAATTTTTTAATCCTTAGTTTTTAATATGCCAACTATTTCATTTTTTGGCATTATTTCACATTGTTTATCGACACCCATAAAAAAAAGTCTGAGGTCAAGAACAATAATTTGCATTTTTCAACAAAATTTTCTAAGTTTTACTGAAAAGCACAATACTTACTGATTTCATAGGGGTCAATGGTCATCTTTTTGTGAGTTCTTTTTAGCTGCTTGAGAATACCAGCAACAGCTGAGATAGCCATCTAGAAAAAAGGTACATGTTTTAAAAAACAAGCCAAGCACAGCAGCGCATGCCTATAACCCCAGCACTCAAACTCGGCCTGAGCAATTTAGTGGGCTGGGTGGGGTAAACGATGTGGGTCAGTGCAGAGTCCTGGGCTCAGTCCCTAGCATGGGGGGTTACACACCTCTTCAACAGCTGACTACTTTAACCAAGGAAAAGCTGGACTCCACCCCTCGCCCTGCAACCTTCAGGGCTCCCAGTGGGAGTGGGGCAGCCCTGGTAAGGGAAAGAGTCACACAGTTCACACTCTGGAGCCTTTACCCAGGCCAGTCTATGCCTAAGAACTCGGCCCCTTTCCATGGCTGAATGTAGGGGCCACCCTGAAGGACAGCAAAATCCTGTCTCAAAAACAACAAAAAACAAACCAAACAAAAACCAAAACCAAAACCAAGGCCCACCAAAGTTGGCCCTTCATTAAATCAGTCCCCACTCATTCTTCCCATGCCAGCTTAGGGTTTCCTTGAGTTTTGTCTACAGTGCACTAGACTAGGCTAGCAGCTCTCCTATACTTCAGTGCTAACACTGACAGCAAAACCTACAAGTTGTACCCTAGATAACTGTCCCTCTTGAAACACTGTGAGCTTAATTTTCTACCTTTTGAAGTCAGCCTTTGTCACTGGCCTAGAACATATTCCTTGTCATACTTGCAGTGTTGAATTGCGCAGTGCCAAACACACCCTCATATGTACATACTTCAACACATTATGTTATGCATTATTTGTAAAGACTTTGATGTAAGTATTTCAGAATTCAAACTCAGTAGCTAAAATGAAACATCTACCTTTCGAACTACAATCGCATCGTGGTTGAGATTCTCCACAAAAAACCGCACAGCACGCAGAGGCAGCACACGGTCATCTCTCAGGAGCAGAGACAGAAGACCAATTCCTATGTGTTCAAACTTCCAGGGCCTGGGAGAGGGCGGGGAAAGCCAGGCCACATGACTCACCACAAAGCCAAATCTTTAAGAAAAAAGTGCTTCATACATAATTTTGTTCTTCCCAAGAATTACAACAGCTCTGTGTAAGACAAATGTGTTGAGAATAGAATAATTTTTTATAGGGTTGATAATGTAGCTCAGTGGTAGGGCACTCCTGTGGCATGCATGAGGCCCTCTGATACTTTACCCACAAGGAAGAAAAGGAGGGAGGGAGGGGATGAGGAAGAAGAAAAGAGAAGGGGGGGCAGGAGGAAGCTAAGGAAGAAGAGAGAACTTTTTTATACTCACAGATTTCTTTGTTCCACACCATCTAGCAACGCGTTGACCAAATTTTCATAGTTCCTTAAAACACACACACACACAAAAAAAAAAAAACAAAATCAAGTGATGATTCGCTTTACTACAATACTCAGATAAATATAAAATAATGTGATATAAATCATAATCTGGCCAAATTTCTCTTTCCCCGACTCGCACCACCAGCCTACAGAAAACACTGGTAAGAACCACAGAGTTAAGGCCGAGGTGTGAGCAGAGACCCCGGGAAAGCGAGCAGGACGGCACCACGGCCCAGAGCCCGCCCACCCGAGCGCGCTGGAAAGTACACGTAAGCGTCCAGCCGAGCAAGGTGTGCTGGCTACCCGGAACACGCAGGGCAGGGACAAGGGCCTCCTGCCTGAGGAAGATACTGCAGAAGGCATGCTGGAGGGTAGGCATGGGGACCAGTGGGAGTTGAGGCCAGCCTGGGCCACACAGTGAGTTCAAGGCCAGCATGAACTATTATAGCAAGACCCTGTCACAAAAATCCAAACAACAGAGGGATTTGCTCTAATGGTGTTTGTAAATAGGATATCAAGTCCGCATCTTGTACAGCAATTAACCACTAGGAAGCATGTATGCAATGTGTTAATTATTGAAACTGTCCTACCAATTTGATTTGAAACTGTCTCATTGCTATTTGTTTCTCAATAAAATTAAGAAAACAAACAAACAAACAAACAAAAAAGGCAGACACTGATGTGCGCATTGGGCTCAGCATGGATGATCACCTGAGCCCAAGTGCTCTGAAGATCCCTGGACATCACAGGGAAGTCCTATCTCTAGCAAGTAAATACTTTCAGAAAACAGCAGGTAGGAACACTCACATACTAAGTGAGTGGCAAAGAAAATCAGGTAAGCGTGGCTCGCTTCAGGGAGCTGCCTTGGTTCCAAAAGGCCCGGCTTCCTAATACCCTGACACTGGATGTGACTGTGAGTAATCATTACTAAGGCAGACACCATGCTACATGGCTGTAATCCCAGCCCTCAGAAGGCTGAGGCAGAAGGACTGAGGCCTCAGTGACTTTAAGGCCAGTCTGGAATATAGAGACCCTGTTTCAAACAGCCTGAAAAATCAAAACAAAAAATTATTATTGAAGAGCTATAAAGCCACACAAGTGAACTTGGTGTTTAATGACGGATCTGTACCAATTAAGTTGTGCCTCATATATTACTGTCAAAAAACCAGAATACATGCTGAAGATTCAATATAGAAAATAATTTTTTTTTTAATGTTATTTTAGTCCAGGGTCTATAGGGTCTCACTACACAGATCCGACTCATAGTGATTCTGTTTTCAGGCCCCCACGTACTGGAATTAAAGGCATGCACCACTATGCCCAGTCTCAATTGGGGGTCTCAGCACGCCCTAGGGGCGGGGCTGGCATGGCATGCCAAGAACCGAACCCTGGTCCCTGTACCTGTCTAAGCAGGTGCTTTAGTCCGCTGAGCTATATCGCCAGCCCATAAAAATAACTCATTTTGGGGGCCAGGGAGATAGCTCAGTAGAAGTGCTTGCCTGACAAGTACAAGGTCCTGAGTTCAAGCCTTGGTATCTCAAAAAAAAAAAAAAAAAAAAAAAAAAAAAAGAAAGAAAGAAAGAAACTCATTTTTAAGATGTGTGTTTTCTGTTTTTATAATTAAAAGCAAAAATTAGGCCATGCATGGTGGGGTATACTTGTAATCCCATTGCTTGGGAGGCTGAGGCAGGAGGCTTGTTGAGAGTTCTAGACCAGCCTGGGCTACACAATGAGCTCAAGGCCAGTCTGGACTGTACAGTCAGCCCCTGTCTTAAACAGACAAATAAATAAAAGTAAATAAAGAAAGATGAGTGAAAATTAGGACTGCTTGTAGTAATCATCTTCAAATTCTTTTCATAGCTTCTCACAAGACATTAAGTAGTCAGCTACGTCCACATCTCACTAAATATCTGCTATCCAAAACATCGCCTATATTAAAAGACCATCAAGTACCTCAGGGCATCAGCATTCCTCTCTTGTTGGCGTTGAAATCCTCCTTTAATTTTCTCTGGGGTAGGCAGTGTTTGGTTGGTAGAAGGATTTTTCGACTGCTGAAGTAATTCTGCTATTGCAACACAGGACTCTGGAATCTTATTTAAAAAAAGAAAAGCAGGAAGAACAAACAAACAAAAACAAAGTATTCTAACACGTACCATGTGGATAAATCCCAAAAATGTTAAGGTAGTAAAAGGTGGCAGACACAGCCAGGCACACGCCTGTAAGCCGGGCACCTATGAAATGCTGAGGCAGGAGGACTAATGTGAGCTCAAGGCCAGACTGAACTGCACGGCCAGACCCTGTCTCAAATTAAAAAATAAAGCAAAAAAGAAAGAAGGCAGACACAAGCCACGTATTTTGTTTATATGAAATGCCTCTTAACTCGCAACTTCACAGTGAGAAAACAGATCAGTGTTCTCCCTTAAGAGGAATGACAAGTCACTGCTGTTGGGAACAAAGTTTGTTTTTTGGGTGAGGAAAATCTGTAGATTGGTGGCAGCTAAATAACTGTGTAAATCTACACTGTGAACATACAGGGATACATCTATACCAGTGAAAAGGGTAGATCTTACGTGAATTAGCCTCAATTTAAATGAAAAAAATGTAATGGTAGCTGTAAATAGCAAGACTATTTTATTTCCCAGGAATACGTTTAGAGCAGTAGTTTCTAAACCATGAGACAAAAGTACACCATTCATTGATTCTCTAGGGAAGAGGAGAATTCAACCATTACACTCTTCTTTACTGTAACATTCTGGAGGTTGTGACTATCTGTGTAAAGCTCTTTTAGTGCAGGGTCTACAGGTCTCACTACACAAATCAGACTCATAATGATCCTCCTGTTTTCAGCGTCCCAAGTGCTGGGATTACAGGCCCGCGCCACCACACCCAGTCTCAGTCACAGGGGGCCTGCAGTGTACGCAGGGGATCAAACCCAGGCCCTTGAGTCTGCCTAAGCAGGCGCATTAATCTGCTGAGCTATCTGGCTGGCCCTGTGCAAGGTTCTTAAATGATCTGCTACACCTGTGCATTTCAGCACCACTGAACTGTTATGTTCTTGTCTTTTTCATTTGTCAAATCACCCATTTCTAACATTCTATACTTTATTATTTTTTTATTTTTCTGCGGTACCGGGGATTGAACTCAGGACGCTGCGCTTGCCAGGCAAGTGCTTATTCTACTGAGCTATATTCCTAGGCCCCATTCTATACTTTAAACTATGAGCCCAATTGCCAATCCTTTATGCCTGGCTCGTATGGCTATGAGCCTAAAAGACAACTATTACGGTGTGCATCTAGATGTCCCGCAAAGCCTAACACAGCTCCAGGTGGGGGCTTTCAGAAGTGGCTGGATCTACAGTGTGTGATGCTGGGGATAAGGGTGCCCCACTCGGGGTGTGAGGATTACACACCTGGAGGATGAGAATGCAAAAGACAGAAAAGAGGGCTGTCACTGTCGCTAGCTCTGCTTGCTGCTCTGCCGACTCCTGTCTGCTTGCCCTGGACTGTTTGTCCTGTGTGATACCCCTCTATCATGCCACCCTGCTTTTGGAGCCAGTAGATTATGAACTGAAACTTCTACAAACTGCAGGCCAAAATAAACTTTTTCTCTTTCAACTTTGGGTGCCAGTTATTTTGTCTCAGCTATAAAAAAAGTAACTATGACAATACTCACCTCTGAAAAAAGGAAGCCATGAACACACAAGGAATAATGGTACATACAACAATGGAATAACCTACTGCTACCTCCTGGTAGAAAATGACCTAGCTTTCTCCCAGATATGTGCTACCTCACTATTCTATCCTGTTAGCTTCAGTAATTTTCTCAGAAATACAAAGTGGAAAACAAGGGCTGAGGATACAGCTCAGCAGCATAAGCGCCTGCCTGACAAGCGCAAGGTCCTGAGTTCAATCCCTGGTACAAAAAAAAAAAAAAAAAAAAAAAAATCTTTGAAACAAAAAAAGTTACAATCAAAGGCCAAGACAATGGTCATTGAAAAAATAAATGAAATATTAAACAGCAAGGTAGTCTTGCTGAATGAAACAACAAAATCTGAATGACAAAATGGATTTGTTTACCATGAAGTCCAGACCAATGGTTTCGTATTGTCTGTGAATCTTTTCTGCAAGATCATCAAACAGTCTCACTATGGACGGCTTTTCCAGCGACATTGCTTGGCTAAGCCCTGAGGAAACAATCGCAGGCCACGTCTGTACAATACAGTCCCAGTCGTGAAGGTTTGCCAAGCACACACCACTGTGATTTCCAAGGAGACAATACAAGGCACCCTGCAGGAAAAAATAGTTTTATAAAAAACAAAGAGGCACTGTTTAGTTATAGCTAATTTATCCATGTTGTTTTAAAATTTGCATTAACATGTTGAAATTGCATCCATTTATCCATGAATGCATCTTTTATCTTTTTCTATGGTAACAGTATGCCACTGCTTATAAAAAAACATTTTCCTTGTCTATTCTGCTGCTCCTGGGCATTAGCAGAAGCCCCACAATCCGTTTGTTCAGCAAATTCCACACTGTCATTAGCTAGGTCCTATCTTGTCTCTGTCCTAAGTAACTCCATCAATCACTACACTATGTGTGTTGCTGATGTCTTTGACTTACTTTGCAGTATTAGCAAGCATGAGGCCATGAGTCTGATTCCCAGTACCCAAACAAAAATTAGCACCCGCCTGTAATCCCAGCCTAGGCTACAAAGTGAGCACAAGGTCAGTCGGAATTGCAGATTGAGACCTTGTCTCAAAAAGACAAAAAACAAAAAGCAAAAAAAAACGCCAACAGAATCTGAGCAGCAACTACGCAGATGTTTACTATCTCTTCCAACTTTCTACAGATTTGAAACATTTTGCAGTAAAACAGAGAAATCTGTACCTTGAACTGCTGCTGTGTGACACCTTGTCTACCAGGTTCTAAAAACTCCAAAACCAAGGGAATAATGTCTCGGCAGCAGAAGTTGTACGCTCCCAAGGCTGCGAAAAAAGTTTGCTGCGCCTTATTTCTGACCTGGACAAGTATTAAAAGCAAACAATCACTACACAGTAAGCAAACTATAAAAGATTTTATAAATTAACTATCAAAAATAAACTGACAAATGAAGAGAAAAATGCACCACAGCACATAGCCCTCAAGGCGAACAGATCACCACCAGCAAAGCACGCCAGCTGCAACCCTACATGCTCTGGGTTACACTGGCTCACATGTTTTGGGAAGAGGAGACTGACTCGAATTGCTAAGTACTTCCCTAGTGACAGCTAGAAGTGAGCCATCATCTAGGAAACATTGTCTTCTTGGTAAGAAGAATCAGATTTCTTCTTTTGTTCTTGCACACAAAAATTAAGAAATTCAAGCAAAAGAAAACTAAACCATTTTGATGTAAACTACAGCCTCATACATTTTTTACTGTAAACAAAAAGATGCAGTATAAATTTATTACTAACTAGTTTAAATAAGGGGATAATGTATTATATTAAAAGCAATATACTAGGCACATCTTTAAACTCTTTTACCATTACTTCAGAAAGAATCTGAGTCAAAAGCTAGTCACCTAATTTACATTACAGTACTTTACAAAGACAGCAACCAGTGAGACACGACTCTTTTTTCTAGATCTCCGTGCTCGGAGATCATCTCTTGGTCCTATGCTACCTTACAAGATGGACTCCACAAGTCACACAGCAGCAAATCCCGGAAACCCAAGCATAATGACCACGAGTAATGAAATGGCCTTTCAAGTGTGGTCTTCAAAATCAGATTTAATGCCAGGTGTGATGATGCACACCTATAATCCCAGTACCTAGGAGGGCCTTCCCATTGAGTCTGAGGCCAGCCTAGGCTACACAGTGAGTTTATGGCCAGCCTGAACTACATAGTGAAACCCAGTTTAGAAAGAAAAGTCTGATTTGTCAGTCCTCTCAAAGGGGAGGAAAAAAAGAAACAAAGATTTAATTATAATTAAATGCTGTTATTTTCAAAAAGTTTCCCCACATGCCAGGCTGGCCCTGCCCCCAGGGAGTGTTGAGCTGGGGGAAGAGTCTGGGTGTGGTGGCGCACACCTCTGATGCCAGTGCTGGGAGGCTGAAAACAGGAGGATCACTACCAGTCCAAGCTGCGCAGTGAGACCCTGTACCAAATATAAATGGGGAGGGGGAAGGTTTAAAATCTGAAGCCAATGTGAGCTCAAGGTGGGGAATTAAGAGGTTTTCGTACTTTCTAGCTGTGTGACCCAGAGCAGGAATATTTAAACTCCACTGTTAAGAGTAGGGCTATCTAGACTGCACACATTAACGAGGGTTTGGGAGAGGCAGAAAGGCGAGATGCGCTAACCTGGCTGTATGAGCTGGTAGACAACCGCAGGAGATCTCTGATCATATCCCGATGTATCACCTTGTACTCACAGCCCTCAACAGTTAGCGTTCGTAGCTGAGAAAACAAGAAAACTGGAGCTGAGTTCGTGGCAAGTTCATCTGAGGACTAAAACCCACACTGAGGTTCACTCCAAGACCTGTCTCCAGGGCCATCGTGTGAGGAGAAGACACGTACCTCGTGCTGCAGCATGACCCTGTCGATGAGCAGCGCTCGGATGTGCTGCTTCTTCCCGTGCAGCTGGAAAGCAAAGCAGCACACGTCAGCACCCACCTCCAGTGCCTCAGTGCCCGGCTCCTCTGACATCCGGGTGGAAGCCGAGCTCCCAGAAGGCCCACAGTGGGCTGGCGAGTGGCGGGACTTGTCACTCACTCTGAAAGCACCAGGCTTGTGTTTTCTTAATACACTATCTCAGTCAACTTCATGGCTGACAGCACCAACATCTGGCTTTAGAAAGGGCCCACGCTGACTCCTACCTGGTTAGCCAACTTTCTGTGATAACTGCACGACTCTGTCACCTTATGAGTAGCCTTTCGTGATAACTGCACGTTTGTTCTAGGTACCACCTTTTATATTTCTAAAATTGCTCATTTTACCCATAGTCCAGTGTGTCATCAAAGGCACACAGGCAGGCACTTGGGGCTCAAATACTTCTTCCTTTCACATCTTTATCATGTCAGTCAACCCAGAAATCCCTCTTTTGCAAAACAACACCCCCGTCATCACCCCAGTGACCCAACTCAGTCGGGGTCCTTCACTGGACTGCAACAGCAACCCGACCATGGGGGGCTGAAGACTGCAGGCAGACCCACGTGCAGGCCTAGGGGCACTGGACTACCATGCAGTCCTGGGCTCGAGCCCTCGCACAGCAGGAAAGCAGGAGCCCGCTGCGCTGGCGCGCAGGCCACGCTCGCAGCCCCAGTGGCAGGCTTCGCGGTCGGCATCACTAGCGGCCCTCCCTGGACTCCACCTTGCTGCGGCTCCTGGCAGGGCGGGGCACTGCACTCCACGCGCTCGAGGGGGCTCCGACTCATTTCTACTAAAGCATACATTAACACATTTTGCCAGTTCACACAAAGCAACAGCCAAACCTAATTCTTCCTTTTTTCATTTCTTCAAGTTTTTATAAGACATCATAATAGTGCTGTCCAAATTCCCAGTGTGAGGGCCAGCCAAATAGTGCAGCAGACTAAAGCGCCTGCAAGCAGGTGCAGGGGCTGGGGTTCGATCTCCAGGCTTGCAGAACCGGCCCCACCCCGGGGCGTGCTGAGACAGCGACTGAGACTGGGCATGGTGGCGCGCACCTGTAATCCCACCACTTGGGATGCTGTAAACAGGAGAATCACTACGAGTCTGAACTAGTAGTGAGACCCGGAATACTCTGTAGACCCTTCCCTAAAATAAAAAAAAGAAATTCCCAGTGGGAACTTAGAAATTATCATGAAAAAACGCAATTTTGCATTAATAAGTAAAACACTTTTTAGCCCTCAAACAAAATATAAAATCTACTCCTTTTCCTTATGAGTGACCTTACTCTGTGTACTCATAGTTCCCTTAACTTAGGCATTTTGGGGACAGCTGAGCAGAGGTGCAGCTACGGCTCAGGGGCACAAGCACCTGCCTGCCGAGCACAAGGTCCTGGGTTAGATAACCACACCAACAGAACAAAACAGAAAATCCTAACCCGATTTTCCATTGATTTCTTTACTAAATTGAAACTTTTCCATCGGGAGTCAAATTCATGCTTGTGAGATCCTTGGAATTGTAAAAGGTCTCCAATAATCTGCAATGAAAAATTTCAAATTTTAATGTAAGCCATAAAGTCAATCCTGACCAGATTAATAATCATCGAAGTACAGAACAACAACAGTACCTTTATGATAAGAAACAAAGACTTTGTATCATCTTCTGAATTATCAAGTATATGTTCTACAATGGGAAAAGAAAAAACAATTGGGTTAAAGTATTTTACGTTTCTGGGTGTCATAATGCCCTCCTGTAACCCCAAAACTCAGGAGGGAGGCTGAGGCGGATTGCTTTGAGCTTTAGGCCAGACTAGGCCATAAAGTGAATTCAGCTAGCCTGCACTACAGAGTGAGACTATCTCAAAAAGACCAAAAGAATAATAATAATTTTTTTCAATTCTTACATAACAACCTGAATCTATCAATTAAGTAAAGAGAAAAAAAGCTACCTCCCCATAAGCACCTGCCTGGCAAACAGAAGGTCCTGAGTTTGATCCCTGGTACCAAAAAAACAAAAACCACCAAAACCAAAACAAGTCCAAATACTTTCACCACTTGGAACATAACACATTATATGAAAGCATAAATGCTACACAGTAAAATTTCTAAATAACTGCAAATAAATCTATATAAGTACTTACTAAGAAGTTTCCTTATGACCCTAGCAATCGCTTCCCGGTGATTCTCTCTGGATAGATCTGTGTTGTAAAAAAGAAAAAAAGGCATTTTAGCCACTGAATATTCCTCAGGCTATTGAAGTTTATACTGAATAGTGTTAGGAAGTGATAAGAATTCTGGCCAAAAAAAATCAAAACCTTGACATTTAAAATAACTAGTTGAGCTGGGCATGGGGTGCAGGCCTGTAATCCCACCACTCAGAGGCTGAGGAAAGAGGATACAGGATGGCTGTGAGTTCAAGGGCAGCCTGAATTCTATAGTGAGACCCTGTCTCAAAAAGACGAGCCGGAAAAAAAAAAGTAACTAGCTGACCAGGAGTGGCAGTCAGCGCCTTTAATCCCAGCACTTGGGAGGCTGAGGCAGGATCACCTTGAGCTTGAGGTCAGCCTGGGCTGAACTCAGAGCAAGACCCTGTCAGTGCACACATACACTACATAGCTACACCTACTGATAAAAGGGCAGGAAGTGAAGGAGGCAGGGAGGAGAGAACTAGACCAGCTCTGCCAGTATTTCAAGGCCTCTTAGCTTTGAAGGCCACAAATCCAAACCACACAAACTGTACCTTAATAATTAATGAATGTAGCCAACTCTAACACACTGGTAAGAAAGCATGTGGACTTTTAATCAATAATATTAAACGCAGAAAACATTAACAACACAAAACACTGTTTTTGGTTGTGCTAGAGACTGAACCCAGAACCATGTGCATGCTAAGCAGACAGTCTTTCATTCCAGGGCGACATCTCCAGCTCTGTTTTCCATAAATACTCACACAGAATTTCAGGGACAGGTATAGCTATGTGGCAGGATGCCCGCCTAGCAGGTGTGTGGAGTGGAGCCCAATTCCCAGCATCTCACACACCCACACACAGAGAGAGAGTACAACAGTGCGCGCCTCCAATCCCAGTACCAGAGCTGAGGCCAACCTCGGCCACACAGCAAGCTCAATTCTGGCCCCACCACCTTAATAAACAAAACCAGTGTGGCTGTGGTGGTCCACACTCAACACCCAGAGCTGGGCGGCTGGCCAGGGGGACTGCATGTTCAAGCCCAGCTCGGACAACTGAGCAATGTAGGAGACCCTGCCTCTAAAAACTGAGAAGGGAACTAGGAATGTAGTTCAATGTGGCAGCCTGGGCTCAATCGACAATGGCACAAAAATCAGTCTTCCTAAAACACTTAACTCGTTATGACACACACAGATTATTACACTGTAAAGGCAGCAGTGCCCCTGTTCCCATCAAGTGTGTTAGTCTGAACAGCAACTCAGAGGTAAGCTCACATTAAGATGTAGAAGAAAGCCTGTCTGTGTACATAGACGACAGCATCTGAATTTGCTGATTCAATCTCTTTGTTTGTTTGTGTTTTCAAACAAAGTCTTGCTATGTAGTGCAGGCCGGCCTCCGACTCATGGCTATCCCCCGCCTCAGCCTCGTCCCCCTCCACCCCCGCCTCAGCCTCCCTGGCGTTACAGGTGTGAGCCATCTTGCCAAACTGTAGTTTCTATCTTTTACTGCCTTTTTTGGACAGACTGGGCTTTGATCTTCCGGCATCAGTCTGTCGAGTACTGGGATTACAGGCGTGTGCCACCATGCCTGGCTCTTTTATTCTCTGTTCTTCATATAACAATTTCCTAAGTTTCTTCAGAAATAGGAAAAAACGACAATATGTAATTTATTATTAAGTTTATGTACCAAAGTTTAAAAAAAAGACTACAAAAGTACTGCATTTTAAGCCTTACAGATCATCAAGGAAAGAGAAAAGCAGCACGTGCAGGCTCACGGCACTACAGCTCACATACCATACTCCAGCCCGGTGTACAGCTTAGTCTCCTCCAAGGACACCATGCTCGGGACCCTGTATAGAAACAAGAGTGAGTGTATTTACTGATCATTCCAATTCAGCAGATCAAAGGGTAAAGTTCTGTTGCTAGAATGTTTTAATTAAAAAGGTTAATGCTTTTCTAACACAGATCTTCAAAACTTAATTATTTATACTTTTGAAGATCACTATGTGCATAAGAATCATATTACCTTGAAGAAAATGTTAATTTTGTATCTTCAGAGGGAAAATTCACCTTTCAAAGGAACAATACTGATACTTCAGCATTTACATATAAAGGATTACACATCAATGATAAACCTTTATCACTCATACGAAGATTCAACTTCACATCTGTATAATAAATCCTATTTTACTGAAGCATGAACAGCAGACAACCTTCTTTACAACAATCATTACCCGAGCTGGGTGTGGTGGCGCACACGTGTAATCCCAGCACTCAGAAGGCTGAGGCAGGAGGATCACCGTGACTTTGAGGCCAGCCTAAACTACACAGCGAGACCTGTCCTAAAAAAAGAAAACAGCAGAAAAAAGGTGATAACTCCTAACACCTGCAGCAAAATGCCACTACTTTTGAAGAAATTCACATGAAAAAATATTTCATTTCCTATTTAAATATTTGCTACAAAGAAATGGATTACCACAACCAGATCTAGTTAGTTAAATTAACTGAAAAGTTAAAAATCAACTTTTAGGTATAAATATTTTATAGGAGAATCTACATATCTCAAATATACATTTTCATCAATAAAGAGCTACTTTAATTTTTCAGCATTTTTTCAGACTGAGATTCAATTCAGCATGTTTTAAACCATGATAATAATACTTTCCAAGAGGAGGAATATAGACATCAATACCAAGGAAACATGAGGGTAAGCAGATCCAACATGGAGGTAATAAACAGAAACTGTTGTTATAATTAAACATTAATAAACTACACAGTGCTTATAATGAAGGAAGTACTATTTATAAATCATGTAACTCCCAGAGCAGCTGAATTAAACATCTGTCAGTTTTGAACTATGTAGCTTTAAAACAAAGGTAAAAACACAACGTTACGATTTCTACAATGCCAGTTATTTGTATCTTCAACATAATACACAGCCTGAAGTTTCAAAGCCAACCTACAAAGAATAACAAAGAAAGAATGGTTTCTTTTTCCTTATTTTCCTTCAAAGCTCACTATTAATTTCTGGTGTAAAATGACACTTTGCTTTTTAAGACTTTCAAGTTGAAATTTCTTAAAACGTGGCTTTCATTCTATAAAGTTTCAACCTTTGGCAACAGCTTGCAAACTCAAGCATCTTGGAAGTTTGTATTAGATCGTAGTAAAAAAAGAAAAATCAGAAGTTGAATCTGTATAGACACTAGATTTCACCACCAGAAGAGAAGAACTGCTCAGGTAACACAGGTATGTCACGAGAAGGGACCTAACGGCCACAATGTAAGTGTTCTTCTAAAGCAAAGTACAACTGACTGCCTTTAGCCTAAGTAGCTTTCGGAAGCAGAAACAACAACTGCAGCTTACCCGCAGCTTACCCGTCATACCTAGTACCAATGAAATAATGAAGCAAGCATGAACTTTAGTCACATTACTCTTACAAACAAGATTAAAGAAGCAATCTTCTCATAAGTAAATTACTCCTCACAATTTCTCCTGTATCAAAAAAAAAAAAAGTATTTCTGTGTGCACTTTTGGCTCCACTAACACCAACATGATACAATCATATTTAAAAACAAGTTTCCTCTCAAGAGGCCGAATACTAATTTCTCAAGCCCAGGTTTTACTCTGAATAGCTTTCTTACCAGAACATTTGAGTAACGCTTGGCATTTATTCTATTTATCAGCTTGCATAAGATTTTAAAATATAATGTAATATATTCAAATAAAATGGCTTGTCCTTTTACAATCTTAAAATATCCAAGTACAGCTTCCACATCTCCCGTACATGTAGAAAGTTACATATCTCAGCTTTGATTTTGTTATTCACAAGCTCCTTTATCCATATTTATGTATTAGCCATAACTGGATTAATCTTATCTACTGCTAATTAAGTTCCAAATGGATTGACATAGTTTATTCCAAATTTCTTCTATCAACTGTATTTCTTCTGATTTTTAGATGAATGATTTTTCTAAAAGAACTCTGCATCACCAAAGAAAAGTCTTTCTGAGAATCTTTCTGTGGCCACGCTATCGGTCTCCACATGCCTAGATTGTACTCATTTAAACGAAGAACTGCTCTTGGGCTAAGGAGGCCGCTCAGCTACAGCACCCTTGCCTAGCATGTGCAAGCCCCTGTGGTTCAATCCCCAGCAGAGCGAAAAACAAATCAAGACAAAATGGAAATTGTTCTTCTAATTCTACAGAGTGAGGGTGCTACCCAGACCTACCTATGCTCTGATTAAAAGCTGCAGAAGCAATGCAAAGCAAGGGGCATTCTTCACACACACATACTGCTTTCAAATTCAACTCTACATTAGTCCCTTAACCCCAAGAAACGTTGTAATTCTGAAAAATAACCCCAATACAGAATATTATAAGTTAATACCATCTATACAATAATAATGAGTTTCATAATTCCCAGACAACGCCAGGCCTAGTTTACTTTTACAAAGTGTGTCAACATATTTGTGCACTAAAAACATGAATTTTCCACCACTAGGTTATTTGTACTACTAGATGGCAATATTCTTGAGGTCTCATTAGAGAAGAACTATAAAATAATCACAGGTGGGAAAAAATGACTATTAATAAAAGCAAAATACACAGTATAAATATGTAATGAAGAGTAGGTGAATTTTCATGAAACTATAAGCAGTAATATAAAATTCTTTCCAAGCACAGCAAAAGAACATCCCGTCTTTCTCCAAGTACCCTTCCCACATGAACACAACATAAAAGACGTAAAATCAAGCCCCTATAGAACTCGTCCCCCCCGCTGAACACACACAAGACAGCTGTCCTACTGTGGTGATCTGCTGGCCAGTTCAATACCAGACAGCAAGAACAGCCGTAAACAAAACTGACAGGGTGGCTCTTACTCTACCAAAGGGTTGTTTGAAAAAGGAAAACTTTACATACACCGTACTAGAATTAAAATTAACTCAGATTTGAAACTATTTGTATATCTGACACACAAAGCTTAAAAAAAAAAAAAAAAATCAATGCAACAGAAGATGAAGAAAGCAGAAAACAGGGTTACTCACCGCGGAGTAGTAACTGTTTCCTTCCCTGTGCGCAGCGGCCCCAGCAGAGCTGGGTCGTTTCCTGGAGGCGCCAAGAGAGGTTAGCTAGCCCTGCCCCCATCGCACAAGGGACCCATCCTCTCCCGTACCAATGACAGGGTCTCATTCTTAGAACTGAAGAATGATTTTTTTTTTCCTTGAGTGAAAAATTAGGAAAAGCTGAGATCCTAAGAACGATTAATAGGTCTATCAGAGAAAAGGGAGCACAGAGAAGTATTCTGAGGTGAAAAATGGTGATTCCTCTACCTTGAGTAACCCTGTTTTTAAGATGTTAGATTTTTTGTTTTAGTTTGGTTTTGCACCTTCTGCTAGTTGTTTAGACCTAAAAGATTATAATAGAGAACGGATTGTAAAGAAAAAACTGACAATTTCAAGATTAAAGGCTAGAGTCCAAAATTCTTTTTTTTTTTCCTGGTACCAGGGATCAAACTCTGGGCCTTATGCCACTGAGCTATCTCCCCAGCCCTAGAGTCCAAAATTCCTATGTGACCCTGGAAAGATATAATCCAGCTTCTCGATCTGTATCTATGAAGGCAGAGCTATGACTACATATTATACCACTAATATTTCTCTTCAAACATCCAAGGTTCTGAAAGCAAAATTAGATGATTTCATTTTAAGATTCAGTTTTGTAGTTAACAAAATTGGTAAAAATTCAAATAATTTTAAGTTGTCCTGAGCTAAAAATATACTACTCTTAAGTATCCTCCAGACCCAAAGGTTGAGAGTGCACTTTACAGTAAGTAAAGATCTTCCTTAGGAACTCCATATGCTAAAAGCCCGAAGGCATGAGTGTACCATCAATCACATCATTTAAACTTGGGTTCAGCTTTTTATTTTTGTCAGTCTCTAATCACATAGCACAAGACCAGGGCTTCAAATGTAGCCACTTCCCCTGGAGGTTCAGACCACTCCACGCACTCTAGATTCTTGCAGGAAAGCTCAACTAAGCTCCTTGCTTGTAAGGACCACAGCTCTCCAGAAGACAAATACTGCACTCCAATACATAAAGGCAAATTGCATACCAAGCAATCTACTCAAAAGCATTCTAAAAGCTAGAATAATTTACATAATTAGAACACTTAAAAGAAAAAAAAAAACCTGAGTTGCTAGGTACTTCCCCAAGCTGGTCTAATATTTCTCTGAACTTCACAGCCGCACTGTTACGAGCCAGGAAGTGCCGCAAGCGCGCGACAAGCAGGATGTACAGCCATGCTGCAGCTTCTCACAACTGCTTGTTCCTTTCCTTCCGTCCAGGACACTTTTCTCTATTTCCTATGCGTGGCTGACATCTCTACCAGTGATCTTTTCCTGCGCCACGTTCAAAGTGGCCTGCTGAGAACCTCTGTACACTGTGTGCCCCAGACGCTGGCCCTTCTCAGGACGCGTGTGGCTCTCTCTCAGAGAACGGAACCATCCACTTAAACTGAGAAGACTGTAAGGGCTGGGGAGACAGCTCAGGAGAGCGAGCACGTGCAGCAATGTAGTACGGCCCTGCCTCAAAATAAACAAAATGAATGCATTAAAGGGTGGGAAACATAGCTGAGTGCAAAGATCCTCCCGGGTTCCACACCTAGCACCACACCAAAAGCTTAAATCAAATGAATGCAAAAGCGCTTTTAACATTTTAATACTTTTGTTGAGATTTTACTTTCTGTGAAAACATTTTATTTTTAATTCTACTTTACATTAATTATATCCTGCATATATGTACATAATTATGAAGAACCTTAAAAATGGGATTTTTAAAAACTGAAGTTAACATTTTTCTATTATTCTTAGAAATATTTTGCCTACTTTTACTCTATAAGCATGTCATTAAGTATATTTTAATTAACTGCATTATGCTTTATATTAAATTTTCACTCGAAATGTGAAACTTCTAGAACACAAAACTTATAGCTTAAATTTATCTTTCCTGGAAAAACTAAGAAATACCTAGTAACAATTTTACAGCTTATAACTTATTGTAGACTAATTATGTAGCATTTAATTTTTTCCTTATTGAAACCGTACCTCACCACATAAGAAATCACCAGTACACACGCTTCAGAGCATCCAGCTCCCTCTTCAGGTCACCGCACAGTGCGCACCAACTGCCGGGGAGAGCCGCGAGCCTCCCGGCAGCACTCTGGGCCGCAGGCTCCTAACACAGAACACACACGCCTCTGCTCCTCGACCCAACTACTGGGATACACAGACACACTTCTCCCTGTCAGCACTTTCAAGCCAAAGTCAACGTACTGATATGCCGAATTTCTTAAGTATGGAATAGCTTGCTGCACATTTTAAGAGGATTAAGCTCTTACTGAATGTCACAAACTAAAGATCACTGAAGGGAAAAAAGAATTAGAAAAACTACGGTAGTTGCATCTTAAAATACTGAGATTTTGTTGTTTTTGATCTTTTTGGGACAGGGTCTTGCTGTGTAGCTCAGGCTAGTCTTGAATTCACTATGTAGCCCACACTGGTCTCAAACTCACAACAATCGTCCTGCCTCAGCCTCCCAAGGGCTGGGATTACAGGTGTGCACCACTACACCCACTTAAAATACTATTTAAGGGATCTGGGATGTAGCTCAGTGGCAGAGTACCTGTCTAGCAAAATACAAGGTCCCCGTACCTAAAAAAAACAAAAGCTATTTAAATCAATCTCACTTAACAAAAAATTTTTTTCAGTAAGATTGTTCTCATCCAAATACAAAACGCAGGAAACAAATGTTCTTTTATGTATTTAGTACAGGGTCTCTCACTACACAGATCTGAATCACAGCAATCCTGTTTTCAGCCTCCCAAGCACTGGCATTACAGGCACACGCCACCATGCCCAGTCTCAGTCACCATCTCAGCGTGCCCCATGGGCAGGGCCAGCACAGCACACCAGGGATCAAACCCTGGTCACTGCGTCTGCCTAAGCAGGAGCTTTCATCCACTGAGCCATCTGGCCGGCCCCACAAATGTTTTTAAAATAATTCACTAAATTCCTAGGCAAATTTCTAAAACAGATTGCCCTACCTACAATGACCCTACTTTTTCTCCTTATGATGAATTAATCAATCTTAAAAAGCTCAATGTGTAGGAAGAGTGAAATAAGCAGTACTATGGGGGTGGAAATAATTATGGAAGTAGGAATTATGGCCCTCAACAAAATCAAGCTATATTTAAAAATTATTCTTTGAAGCTGAAAAAGGGTTTTGTTACACAATCAGCAAGTAAGTCTGTTTCTGAAGGAGCTAGGAGTTATTTACTCATTGTTATTCGGTGTTCACTAACTGGCCAGAGTGAAGAAATGCTGCGGGAAAGACTTCCAACCTACATCTCTCAACTTCTAATTGAGTATACCTACTGCTGAGTTCACTGTTTCTCAGTTTGTTCAGCTTAATGGTGGTATTAACAGCAGGTCAAACTGAAACATTTACTCAAAATAAGTGGAAGCCAGGCGTGGTGACGTATGCCTGTAATCCCAAAACTCAGGAGGCTGAGACAGGAGGATCTTTGCAAGTTCGAGGTCAGCCTATGCTACAAAGTCAACTCAAGGCCAGCCTGAACTGCATAGCAAGACCATGTCTCAAAAAGACAAAAAATAGGGGCTGGGGAGATGGCTCAGTAGAATAAGCACTGGCCTGGCGAGCACAAGGGCCTGAGTTCAATCCCTGGTTGGGGGGGGGAGGGGGGGAGTCTTCAGCTGCAGAACCCTGTGCCTCTTTGACGAAAAATGAGTTCCATATATTGGGGGGCCTGCCCCTTAGCTCAGTTCTTTAAGTGGCTGCTTCAACAAAGCAGTCCGGCTCAGGTTGCTGTGGTTCGATCCCCACAACTCAAGCCAGCCAAACCTGCCCTAAAGGCATTCGGAGCAAAAAAAAAAAAAGACAAAAAATAGATTAAGTAAATAAAATAAAAATAAATAATATGTAGAAAAGCAATTAAAATCATACCTTTTTACAGTGGTAAAAAGTTCATAATGGATAATATTAAAAGAAACTTACTAAAAAATACAATTGTTAATAAAACACTGCAGGTAAAAAGAATTTTTTAGAGAAGAGTATCTTCAATAAACTAGCACATGAATTCAGTGTCTCCACACTGATACTTTTAAACTGATCAACATTTGAAGCCATTCAAAGTAATATAAAAATCTGAAAAAGCCCTTTAGGATGTTAATTGTGCCTTAAGTACTTTGGACCTAACAATCACAAATAAAAAAAGGTTAACATGATACAGAAATGACAGCAGTACCAATATACCAGTACTTATCAGGTGGTAAACCTTAACAAGTATGCAGATAGAAACAGGAAAAACCGTAAGGCAGTTATTTTGACTTACAAGTTAGTAACTGGCTCTCCTTTCAGCGGAGGCAGGAGATTCCCTGAGCCAATTAGACAGTTGTGCACTATCGTCAGACTCTGCAGAATATCATCTCTGGACAGGACAAAAAATAGCATTACGAAAGAGTCTCAGGTTCCTATTTACTAAGATTTTAGAGTTTATGGTGAAAAGTAAAATACTAGGCAAACAATACAAAATCAAGTGGGAATATACAAAATTATGTCTTCATTTTACCAACTCAATTAACAGTCTACCGATACTAGCAGAGGACAATTAGGGGTGAGGATGTCACTCTTCAGTAGGGAGGCTGCCTGCAACGCATGAGCCCCGAGGGGTTCAATCCCCAGCACTGGAGGAAAAAGAAAAAGATTTACTGCTAATATTAGACCTGCTTGCATTTGAACAGGGTCCAAATAATCACAAGAGAAAGCACCCTCTGTGCTGCAAGCTGAGACCTTGTACCAAGTATATAAAAGAAAAGAAGGTACCCTCTGTGAAGCAGTCCTCCGTCACTGGTCTCGGATGACCTCTGCTTACAGTGGTGGGAAATGCTGCTGTAGAAAATGCTGCCAGTGTATTCCAACTTTACGAACAAAACCAATTAAACCTTTGCTTTCAAAATGCAATTTAATGTACTACAGTACACAATGCTAGGCAACCAGATTTCTCCATCCATGTCCACCCTCAGTGTGCGTAGGGAGTTTGACACCTAATTTTTTTATTATTTAAGGATTTTAAAACAACTGAAAACTAAAAGCCTAATGGTCTCAAAAAGACAATTTCTTGCTAAATACCTGTGGAAGAGAGAAGAATGGCCTCACAGAGGTATTTCTCTAAATAACAAGAATGTGAAATACTGAAAAGATACCACCAGTAGAATCCATGCCTAGGCTAAAAGGCATTTCCTTGCAAAGGGCATACGCCTACTTAGATTTAAAAGAAAAAAGTGAAATTGTTAGCTGGGGCTGGTGGTGCACACCTGTAGGCCCACCACCCAGAGGCAGAGGCAGGAGGATCCCTGCAAGTTCAAGTCATGCCTGGGCTACAAAGTAAGCTTCAGGCCAGCTTGCATTGCATGTCCCCGTCTCAAAAAGCTCCCCCCCCCCAAAAAAAAAGAAGGAAAATGCTAAGTAAAAGTTTCTACCAGAAACTACAAAGAAAAACTAAATAACTATCAATTTTTTCTTTTTAAAATGCTTAAATTTTGCTACATTTTCTGCCCTATGTTAATTGGTTTCTAAAAATAGACCTTCTGAGATTTTTCAAAGCACATATCAAAGTGAGTGCATCAGGCCAGGCATGGAGGTGTGTGCCTGGAACCCCAGTGCGTGGGAGCTGAGGCAGAGAGGGTGAGGAAAAGAGAGTCACTCCAAGTTCAAGGCCATCCTGGGTTACAAAGTGCTTTCAGGGCCAGTTCGAACTACACAGTGAAACCCCATCTTAAAAAGATGTAAAAAACAAGAGTAAGGGGGGCTGGGGAGATGGCTCAGTGGAATAAGTGCTTCCCTGGCAAATGCAAGGGCCTGAGTTCAACCCCTGGCTCCGCCAAAAAAAAAAAGAGTAAGAAAACCAGAAAATCAATGCACCCGATCTACCACACACAGAGAAAAAAACACAAGTATTTTCATAGTCTACACCTGCATGTCAGTAAAACTGACTACAGAAGAAAACTCACCTAGACATTTCAAGCTTTCCATCCCCACAATGCTGCAATTTGATGAGCTCAGGCTGAAGAAAGGAGTCCAAAAGATAGAAGGCAAAAGACACTTCCTCTGAAGAAGGAACATGCCACTGGATTCCCAGATTCCACAAGTCCCCAGGTTTGCCCCAGTCCTAGAAAAGAAGAGCATCTGTTCACCAAGTTGGGAAGTTGAAAAAACAGATCACAAACAAACAAAAACTAAACACCCAAGTCACACAATTTAACAAGCTTAAAGGGAAATGCAGAAATAATTCAAAGCTCAGCAAATAATATGCAAAATAGTGGCATTAAAAACCAATTACTAGGGGTCAGGGAGATAGCTCAGTGGAATAAGTGCTTCCTTGGTAAGCACAAGGTCCTGAGTTCAATCCCTGGTTTGGGGGGGGGGGGGAATTTACCCTTTTATCATCAAACCTGAAAAAACTCTCTCTGAAGAGTCACTTACAGAGTCTACAATTCAGTCTGCACCCAAGTTTAGGTGAGGGCTAATTAGTTTCACAATGAAATTCCATGCAGCTATGGAAAGAAGACATCACACACAGAAAACTGGAGTACTAGCTCCATGCAAAGTGAGACAGCCTGGGCTTAACACATTCCAGTAACAGTTTTAATAATGTATTTTTTTAAAATTAGCACCACTATTCACACACATGTGCGCACACCCCAATACTTCGAATCCCTTAGAAAAAGAATCCAACATATTCTTGAATCTTAATTTATTAAAAATGCTTGCCTTGATAGGAAAGTACTCAGGAGGCAGCTTATCAAAGCCGCCTGGCACACTGCAGTACTCCGTGGGGTAGATGAGTGTCGTGGACCGAAGAAGATGATGCAGGAGGTTACAAGACAGGGTGTAGCCTTGCTTACAGGTTAGATGCAGGGTTCTCTGGAGAATCTTTACAAGCTGCTCCCTATAAAGAAGCAACTTCTTCCCATCCACTCGCGTAATCTAAAGGGGATAAAGGCCGGTTCAAGATATTTTTGTTAAAAGATTACAAATCAATAATTACTACAAAATTCAGTGTTTGGCCATTAACATAGTAAAAAACAAAACAAATCTAACTTTTGCATTCAGGGTTTCATTTATCAGTTACATCCTTCAAAAAGGACCTAACACTGTAAAGAGACAACATTACTTAAATTTCTGAACTGCTTCCTAAAAGGAACTCGTTTGATCAATGGCCAAAATTTAAATAGAAAAGTAGTTCTCAGAAAAGGCTACATCCCCAAAACAAGTTACATTTTCACTGTAATATTTTCTTCAGAAGATTTACCATACCTCAGATAAAAGCTGAAGATTCCACAGTAACTCCTTGTCTAGTTCCTCATCGTTCAATACGTCATCATCTAGCAATGACAAGATAGTATCAGGGAGATAAAAACGGTGCATCCAACTAAATACATCATTTGAAAAAACATTTATACTTAGGACTAGCCAAGACAGCTCAGCAGATTAAAGTGCCTGCTGGGCAGATCCAGAGACCAGGTTCGACCCCCAGCATACCATACCAAGCCAGGCAAGGCCAGGCCCTGCCACCCCCCAAGACTGTGAATGAGACTGGGTGTGGTGGCGCATGCCTGTAATCATAGCACTTGGGGGCTGAAAACAGGAGACCAACTTCGAGTCCAATCTGCATGGTGAGACCCTGTAGTAAATACATAAAATTTTTTAAAAATTCCCCCCTTAATTTTTCTAATAATTGAGAAACTCTGCTTCAGGGATACTTTTTTTTTTTTTTTTTTTTT